GGGACAAGGAAATAATAAACAGCACCACCTAAGAGTGTTTGACAAAGCCAAGTGGGGGTAACAAAATTTATGATTCCTTTATTACTAACATTATAGGAAAATGCATTTTTTAAATTTTTTATTCATTATTTTTATTTATTTTATTCCATTTTTCAACAAATTTGTCTATATCCACATTCTCCTTACACAAAGGATATAAAAAATGATACTTCTAACAATAACTCCTTGCACTTTCTGGTCAAGAGGCACAAAAAAATCTAATGTCTAGTCCCACCTGAAGGCTTGGTGGGGAGTGATGGCATTGCAACTAAAATTGTCTGACGTGTTCATATCTGATATGTAAAATGTTGCAAAAGATAAGTGCCAAGGAAGCTAGATAATTACCTGAAGTGTGTGTGTGCATGTGAGAGGAGAATGTAAATCACTCCTTGGTCTGATCCTACTATCATGAGGGAGCTGGGCAGGAGAACAATACTCAATCACACGTCTCTCACTGACCTATGGACAAATACTGAATGAACTGGAGCCTACTGACCGTAAATGAACCTTCAGCAACATGCCATATTGATCTTACTGTGTCCTCAGTCAACGAGAGAGGTAATAAAAAAATTACTTTAATATTTCTTCTTTTAACCATGGTGACACCGATATATCAGCTAACCAACACCTAGAAAGATAATTATATTAGCAACAGATATGATCATTAGTAACTGTTTCTGCTTGTGGCAAATTGCAAACTAAAATGACATTTCTCATCATTTATTACAATCGTCTTAAATAGCAATGGATACAATGACTGCTATTCTGTAGAAGATTGATAAAAGTGTATTTGTTTTATCTTGATTAATTATGACTAGATTCTCTGAATTGTAAATGTTATTTAAATGGTAAAAAATGTCAAATATTTGTTGTGGGATACAAGTATGTTTGGGTAGAAATAAGTCACCATTATGTTGCAGGTATCACCTCTTTAGTTGTGATGGGTATAGACATTTTATATTAAACATTTATGGGCCCCTGGAACATTTATCCAGCAAACAATATTAGCAGACTCATGTGAATCCTGGGTAAAAATAAATAACACAAAACAATGAATAAAAAACCTCTGACAATGCATGTTATTAACAAAAGGAATTACATGTGTACACAAATGAAATGAAAAGAAAAAACATTGAAACTAGCTATGAGAATGTGTGTGTGTGTGTGTGTGTGTGTGTGTATGTGTGATAGACATATGTGCAAGAGTTCAGTTAAGAGCAGACCATTAAAATGAACGTGCCCCAGTGGTAGACACTTTACCCATGTGCAACTATATCTGAAGGCAAGAGTTAAAAAGAGAAAGAGAATATGATCGCTTTTTATGGACTTAAAGAGTGTCCCCTAGTAGGCATTTTGGCAAAGCCAAGTCAGGCAACCCACATATTAATTAAACCTTATTTTATTCTGTGTGTAATTTACTAAGGTCATGCTTTTAGATTTTACCAAATATTAAAATTTGTATTTAAAAAATATTACATCTTGTCTGTCAGTATGGATGATCACTTCTATTTCATATTCTTTTCCATTAATTTCTTCTCTTTTTTTTGTCCTATATTCATTTACATCTATTTTTGCGATTTTTTTTTTTAAATAAAATGTAGAACTTGTCTTTCTTAACTGTTTGGAGGAAAAACTGTTATATAGGAATAAAATGTCACTGCCGACACTTGAGATTGAACATAGATCACCAGTGAGCAAACACAGGTGATCCCATTATTGAGTTAAGTAGACCACGTGACCCTAGAGGAAACACATAAGTAGAAATTAGGTTTATGTCTAATGGATCACTATTTACTATACTATTTCTCTATTCAGATCACTATACAAATTACTATTCAGTGGTTACTTTACAAGCAAGTATTATCGAACAAGTGCTATTAGTGCAAGTGATATTCAAAGGCATCTGACACCAGCATTGTTCGACAGCGTCACTATAGTTGTATCTGCAATTACAAAGGCTCTACTACAATGAGTATTATGAAAATGACAATGAGTAATCATTGACATTACAAAAGTGTCAAACAAGTGTTCATTGACATCACAAAAAACAAACAATTGTGACTGAATTAACATTCCCAGATCAAGTGAAAATTGGCAGCATTTTCATAAAAAAAAAAAAACAATCAAATACTTCATAATTAATTTTTTTTGAATTGATTTTACCCCAAGTAAGGCAGTAAAGCCACTAAGACACAAGGAGGTTACCTGGTGTGGAAAAATTAGGAACAGAAACATTACTAATGAGTGAGAACAAAAAGAGTATTCAGGGATTGTCAGATCAGCTGCTAAGAAAGTTGGTTCACTGTGTCAAGTGAGACAATTTTTCCCTCTGAAATCTATCTTGCATATCTATAAGTCTACCATTTGTCCATACTTAGAATATTGCTGCCATATATGGTCTAGTCCCCCTGCTATTTTCCTGGAGCTCCTTAATAAGATCCAAAAAAGAATCAGCAATATT